TTGTTTTATCTTAGTCTTTCTGACTATGTTAAGAAGAAATCTCAAAGAAGTTTCAGTTTTCATTTTCACGATGGCTAAAGATTATGAACAAGAAAAATATTTCTCAGCAATTTTAATTTCATCTTTTAAAAGTCTCTATTTAGTTCCATGACCCAATTTTCAAATGGGTTGCTTGGGCTTTGTTATGTTTAGTTTTTCAGTTCTTTTTATGTTCCTGATAATAACTGGCTGTCAGATGTATAATTGGTAAAAAATTTTTTCCCATTCTGTGGGCTACGTCTTCACTCAAATGTTGGTGTCAGTTTTCTGTACAGAAGCTTTTGTTTCATGAGGTCTCATTTGTCAGTTGTTGCTCTCAATGTCTGTGTGAAGTGGATATTGTTTAGAAAGTCCTTTCCTGTGCTGAAAAGTTCCAGTGATTTGACGTCTATTAGATTCAGGGTGTCATGTCTTATGTTGAGGTTCTTGATCCATTTGAAATTGAGTTCTGTGCGGAGTGAAAGATTGGGATCTAGTTTCATTCTTCCGCATATAACTATCCAGTTTGACCAGATCCATTTGTTGAACATGCTGTCTTTTTTCCCAGTGTGTATTTTTGCACCCTTTGTTAAAAGTCAGCTGGCTGAAATGCCTGGACTTAAATCTGAGTCCTCAATTATATTCCATTTATTAATGTATCGGTTTCTTTGCCAGTACCATGCTTTTTTTATTACTATAGGTCTGTAGTATAATTTGAAATTAGAGATGGTGATGCCTCCAGCTCTTCTTTTACTGTTTGGGGTTATTTTAACTATCCTGGGGTTTATTTTGTGTTTCCATATGAATCTGTAAATTGTTTTCAATTTATGTGAAGAATGTGTTAGAATTTTAATGATGATAGTGTTGACTCTGTAGATTGCTTTGGGGGAATGTGTTCATTTCACAACATTGATTCTACTGATTCATGAGCATAAGAGGTCTCTCCATCTTCTTGAATCTTCTATTTCTTTTTTCAAAGTCCTACAGTTTTTATCTACAAGTCTTTTAACTCCTTGGTTAGATGTATTCCATGATTCTTTTTTGATGCTATGATAAATAGGATAATTTTTCACTTATTTTTCAGCATGTTTGCTGTTTGTACACAGGAAAACTACTGATTTTTGTGTTTTTTTGTATCCTGCTACTTTATGAATGTGTTTATCAGCTGTAGAGTTTCGTCATGAAATTTTTAGGGTCTTTTATATATAGAAACATACCATTAACACATAAAGATAGTTTGGCTTTGTCTTTTTTTAATTGTATACCCTTTATCTCCTTCACATCTCTTATCGATCCACATAAAATTTAAAGCCCTATATTGAACAGGAATGGAGAAAGTGTGCATAATTACTTTATCCCTGGTTTTGATGGAAATGTTTTGATATTTTCTCTGTTTTGTTGATGTTCATTGTGGGCTTGATGCATTTATTATATTGAGATATGTCTCAGGCAAATCCTTAGATTCTCCATGACTTTTATTTTGGATTTTGTAAAAGTCCTTTTATGCATCTGAGATGCGCATGTAGTTTCTGTCTTTTGGTTTGTCTAAATTTATTCATTGGCTTATGTTGAACCATCCCTGCATCTCTGGGATGAATCTGAATTGGTCATGGTGAAAAAATCCATTTGATGCATTTTCTAATTTGGTTTTCAAGTACTTTATTGAGAATATCTGTGCCTATATTCATCAGAGAAATGGACTTATCATTTTTATTGGATCTTCATCTAGTTTGAATATCTGAGTAATACTGGCCTCAGAGAAAGAATATGAAAGTGCTCTTTCTCGTTATGTTTTTCAAAAGAATTTGAGGACTATTCATGTCAGGTTGCCTTTGAAGGTCTGGTATAATTCTGTGCTGTTTCTACCTACATCTGGGCTTTTCTTATTTTGGAGATTTTTAATTACTGCTTTCATTTCATTGCTTGTTGTAGATTTTTAAAAATTGTTTACTCAACTTTGCTTATTTTTTTAGGTCATGGTATCTAGAAATTCATGCATTTATTTTAGATTTTCCAGTTTAGTGCAATACAGATTTTAAAAAATATGTTCTTATGAGTCTCTGAATTTCCTCATTATCTGTTGTAATGCTTCACTTTTCGCCCCTTTCTTTTGGTTTATTTGGGTAAAATTTAGACAAGCTTGTTAATTTTTTCAAAGAACCAACCCTTCCTTTCATTGATTCTTTGTATTTTTGTTTCATTTCATTAATTCCAGCCATGATTTGGATTATCTCTTCATACTCTTTTGGGGGCACTGCTTGCTTTTGTTTTTAGAAAGCCTTTGGATGAATTATGAAGTTATTAATATGAGATCACTTCAGTTTTTTTTAGTGTAGGCACTTCATGCTACAACCTTTCCTTTGGGACTCCCTTCATTATTTCCCATAGATTTTTGGTATGCTGCATTTTAATTTTCTTGGAGGCAGCATAAAGGTAAATTATGTTTTCCAATCAAATCAGCTAGTCTGTATCTTTTTATTGAGACCATTATTATAGAGAGTTTTTACTGACCAATATATATTGATTTCTGTTATGTTCTTGTGGTGGTGTTATTTGACCTCTTTTGGCTATCTATTCTTGAATTGTTTACGTATTTCTTGTGTACTCTTGAGTGTGTTTGATCTTCTCTTCAGATGGAAATATTCCTTTTAATATCATCTGTAGTACTTCTTTGGTGCACATAAATTCCTTATGTTTTTAATGGAAACTTTTACATTCTCTTTCAATTATAACTGATAAAAAGTTTTGCTGGATATAGTAGTCTGGAATTGCATCTCTATTTTTTCATGACTTATAGAACATAAGTCCAGGTCCTCCTGGCTTTCATAGTATCTAATGAAAAATCAGCTGTTATTCTCTCTTGCAACTTGCAATATCTCTTCTTTGTTCTGTACATTTAGTGCTTTGATCATTATATGATGTGGGGAGTTTCTTTTCTGATCCTTTCTACTTAGTGTTCTGTATGCTTCTTGAACCTTGATAGTTACCTCTTTCCTTAGATTTGTGTAATTTTCTTCTATAATTCTTTCGATTTTGAGACAGGGTCACACTATGTAGCTCTGGCTGGCTTGGAACTCATTATGTAGACCAGGATAGCCTTGAACATATAGAGATCTGCCTGTCTCTGTCTCTCAGGTGCTGTGAGCAAAGGTGTGTGCCATCATGCCTGGCTTATGATTTTGTTGAGAATATTTTCTGTGTCTTTGACTTGGATTTCTTCTCTTTGTTCTGTATCTCTTTTATAGGTTTGTTTTTTATAGTGTCCCAAAGGTCCTGCATGGTCTATTCCTGAGTTACTTTAAATTTAACATTTTCTTTAACTGAGTGGTTGATTTCTTCTACCTTGTCCTCAAGATCTGATATTCTTTCTTCACTTTGATCCAGTCTATTGGTGAGGCTTTCCTCTGTGCTTTTTGTCTGACTTTCTGGGCTTTTCATTTTGAGTTTTAAGTTAGTTTTTCTTCAGAGATTCTATCCTTTTATTAAATTCTAATTTCATATCTTGAAATGTTTTACTTCACTCAACTGTTGTGTTTTCACAGTCTTCAGTCTGTTATTTGTATCTTCTCTGAGTTTCTTGAACATATAATTGCTACTTTGAAATTATTTTCTTATGTATCAGCTTTCTTGGGAAACGTTATGATGGGGATGCTAAATTATGGAAGAGTTTTGGCTAGTCATGTTTTTTGTGCTTTCATGATAGGATTTAGGCATCTGGAGTTATGTTGTTGGTGCCGTTTCTTGGTTTGGATATCTTATCTTGCATTTGTTGAGTTGATGACTTGAGGGTACATGTGGCCTTAAGAGGATGACTTAGAAAAAGATTATTCCCAGGCTGTACATGTTAGTCTAAGAGGCATACAGAAGCAGATGAATTCCTGTCTATAGTCCCATGTGGTGAAGTTTAATTGGACAATGATCCTTTCCAAGGATTTCTTCATACTGCTGGAATCAGTGGATCTAACTAAAGTAATGAATGAGCAACCTCAATATATGAAGTAAGCATTTCTCCTATCTATTCTGGATCTCATGGACTGATTGAATACAAACTGAAGGATGGGTCAAGATGTAATAGTCATTACAATGACTGAAAGAAATGACAGAGTGAGACATGGTAAAAGGGAAGGGCTGTGGTTTGCTTCAAAATCTGAATTCAAATTTGAGACAAATGTTACTACAGAGGAAAAGACATGATGACCAACTGCCCCTGGAACAAAGGCTGTTTACCAGAACCCTAGCACAAAGTGCATTAAAACTCATGCCACTTAGTCAACTATTTTTAATAAAAACAAATGAAGGTGTGTACATGGAAGTATACATGGAGAGGGTTCTTTCTCATATCCAGTTATGCTGAGAACTTACATTGTCATAAAGAGAGAAACAAATAAAAAACATGCTGAGTATAATATGGTTAACAAAACAGGACAATGCTGAAGGATAGTATTACTGGTTTTTTTTTTAAAGGAAATTACTGAGGCTGCATATCTTGATGTTCAGCAAAGCAAAACAGGTGTCACAAGGCTATAGAGGTGACCCTCTGTGAACAAAATATTAAAATTAACCTTATAGAGTAGAGGACACTACCTTAGCTAAAAGGCAAATTGATACCAACTTGATAGGTCCTTTTCTTTCATTTGGATTCACAGTGACATCAACTGAAATTGTTGTCACAAATAAAATGTCCACATTGGTGAGTACAACTAGAGCAATGAAAAATAAGAAAGTACATAGAAAATAGTAATAAAAAGCAAAGCAGATATACAAGTGAAAGGATGACTGTAAGAGCCTGAAAAGACATATAACAAAAAAATGAAGAAAGGTGTGACATAAATACAGTAATCAATGAAATGACTTATAGACAATCCAAAACTAAAAGAGGTAGAAGTATGATGTTGAAAGTCTAAACAATGACCTGCAGTGGAATAGAAGGCAGGTGTGCAAGTAGAAGCATTCACAGGTAGAGCATTGATTTAATTTGGGTAAATGATGATACCTCATAATATTTTGAAGGGATGTAAGGAAATAAAATCATGGTTAATAGGATTATACTAAAGAATAAGCAAGAGAGACATGAATGAAAAAAGGATGGCACCATTGATCCAATTACAGTGAAAGTTACAGAGAGTAAAGAACATTACCACATTTGGGAAACTCAAGAAGATGGAGTGCCAATGCTCAAAACACCGAGAAATGGAAACTCCTAATTCATATCAGTGCACAGGCTACACAATGGTATACATGTCCATTTTGGCCCAAAGGAAATATTGCAACTTGGGTTGACATTATGCTTCTCCTTTCCAACCATCAGTGTGAAACGAAGAAAAGCCTCAGTTTCAGATTGCCCCTGGCACAAGGTTTGCTGTTCAGGTCATCTTGGACAAAACATGTTGAATGGCAAAACTTTCAGAGGAATAAACAAGCAAGGGTCTGGAGCCTTGAACAATGAGGTTAGAGGTAACAAAGTTTGATTCCAGGTTAAAAAGAGTTGTGATGCACTTAGAAGGACATCATGCCCTATATCCCCAGTGGTACCCAAACTAGGTACCACTAGTGGTAAACAAACTAGGTTCCTCCAGTCTGTAATACAAGAATATTGCTATCCAATATGACTAGGAATGGTATATTATGTCAGTCTGAAAGGAAGGAGGACTCCCAGAGGACTGTGGCACTGGAAAAAATAGGAGTGGCAGCACTGAAGCAAACAAAGCTGTGGTCAGCAATCAGGCCTCAGATTCAACAGATCCTTAGATGGTGTAAATGTTTGAATGTGGCCAAGAATCATGGTGTCCTGGCCATGGTTTCTTAGTTCTGTGGTCAACAAATACTACATTCTGGCCCATAGCACTTTATGATGTAAACTATAACTGCCAGCAGAGGTTACAGCCAGAAACTACTCCCACTGGATTATTAACAATAATTAAAGTTTTTCAAGAAAGGGCTGTGTGGAAAAGGAAGGACATTAAAGCCCAAATAATGAATTCCAGTGAACCCTAGAACATAACCAAAAGAGGTCAACTTTCCAAAGAAAAATGTTTAATACATGCTAAGTATGAATTCTAAGATTCAAGGTCAATAAGAGAGATGATCAATAAAAATCATAATCAATATGGTTACGATGAGACCCAGAAAAACTGAGCTATGGCAATGGTGTCCGGGAAGTCTTCCCACCTAGTATATTTCAGTAGGCATTGCTACCCTTATCAGCCATTGGTGAAAGGCACACTACAGGGAAGTGTTCAAAACTCAGAACTATAGCATTGAATGGTGCTTGGTATTGCTAACTAGATTTCATAAAGGTTGGGAGTCCTGAAGGAGAGAGCAAGATCCCATCTAAATTAACTAGCTGGAGCAACCTAGGAGTGTTATTCCCTGTGATAACTGCAGGATGATTTCCACTGGAAACATCAGTGGAAAATAAGTTAGGGAATAAAGCAGACATATTAGTTTATAACCATTCAAAACCAGCAAAATCTAATACACAGGCCATAGTGTACTGGGAAGCAAATTAAACAGTAAGATGTTAAATGGACTGGTAAGTAGACAGGACAAGGTTTCAGGCAATATTTTGCATTGCTCACTTCCCAGTGATGGGCCTACTATGATGAGGGTTCTTTGTCCTTAACCCCTCAAGCTTACCTTGGGGGGACTATACAGTAACTCTGTGTGCAGATGGGTGATGATCTACAGAGAAAGGTTCAAACAGGGTGGTGTCATGAGTCTCTAGGGAAATAGATGTGTCCTGGGAAGGCTACCTAGTTGGCCAGTTCAGACAGTTTCCAAGGCCAGGATGTTGACTCAGGCCAAAAAGGTTGCCTACCTGACATCCTGTTCCGATAGGTCACCTGCATGTACAGGGCAGGAACTGACAGTGAGATGTTTGGTGAGCTGGACTGCTGATAAGAAAGGTTTCCAGAGATTTCCTGAAATACAACTGTGGGGACTGCCAATAGAGGGTGATGGACCCAATATTTCCCTTAGGACTATGCCTCCATAGTCTTCAGAAATTTCCAATGAATTCAGGAGGGCCCAGGGGACAACCCAGGGGCAATGGCCGACAGGTACTATCTAGCTCAGTCACCTTCCCCCCTTAGTGACCATGCTCTGTCCTTTCTCTCTGGGCTTTCTGAAGAGAGAAGGCCAGAAATGCCTGTGGTTTGAGAAGGTGGTACCTAATAATTCCATTGTAGCAATTTTTGGACCCTAATACAGAGTAGGGGTGTCAGAGCAGGCTTCTAGACAAATGGGTCTGTCCTCATCAGGCTACCCTGATGATAGGCCCAGACAACGTCTAGCATCTGCTTGCTGAGGAGGACCAAAGAGGTCCCCTTCTGGACCAAATGCTTAGGCAGACCTCAACAGTCAGAGGTGGGGCAGGCTGGGCTACAAGAAGGACAAAGTTTGCAGGGAAAACTGCTGGACTCAATTCCGTGTAATGAGTGTACTGTGGCTCCAAGCTCTTTAGCCAAAATAGGTTTATTCCTTGAGAGAGAAGAAGACTCATTCAAAAGGGTGTAGGACCCTAAAATGATGGCAACCTACTCTGATATGTGGAACTTCCTTGCCATTTAGAGGCTATTCACAGAGAATGAGAAAGACAGAATGAGAGGGAAAGAGCACAATATGAATCACAAGACCTGAGGTCTCTCCCCAGGCCTCCTGTAAGAGAGCTCCCTGGAGTGTGTGCTTGCACAGCATTGGTGCTCAGGAATCCCCCCTTTAACATCTTTGCCCAGTGACCAATTTCTTCCAAGCTAACATCAAGCTGTTGAGTCTCACTGCCAACAGAGGACACAGACCTGATGTTTCCTAAGGGCTGGGCCTCTATAGTCTTCAGAGATCCGCCCCCATTCAGGAGGGCCAAGGGGGCACCCCAGGGGCAATGGTATACAAGAGCTTTCTAGATCAGTGAGGAAGGGCTTTGCCTGTTCCCCTTTCAATGACCATGCTCTGTCCTTTCTGTTGGGACATTCTGAGAAGCCAGTGCCCCAGGTGCCTGCCATTGGGAGGGTGGTGCCTTGTGATCCCTGGCTGCGATTTGAAGACCGGAGTCCAGGCTGGGCCATGTCAGGGCAGACTTCTCAGCAAATAGGTCTGTCTTGGGCAGGCTGCCCTGTGGTCCAGCCCTGAAAGCTTCCAGCAGGCACTGAGGAGGTCCATGAAGGTCCCCTGATGGACCCACTGCTCAAGAATGTAGCCTTGGTACTTAAAACAGGCCTCAACAGTGAGGTGGTTTGGCAGAAGAGGGTGCTTACAAGACGACGTTTTCAGGGGACATCACGCTCGGCTCCTTTCCCCATGATGGGCCCACAGCCCTGAGGGTACTGTGGCTCCCAGCTCTTTGGCCAGTCCTGTCTTATTCCTTGGGACTGCAGAATAAGCCTCAGTCCCCATGGGTGTGGGCCCCCGAGGAGTGTGATAACCTTCTCTGACATCTGACATTTCCCTTCAGATGCTGTTCCCAGAGAGAGTGAGAACAAGAGAGGGCCCCCAGAACTCCCAGACTCCCAGACCGTGGAACAAGGGCAGAAGGCTAACTACTGCCCCCCTCTGGTGCCCTGGAGGCCCCGGGCTCAATGCACACTGTGCTCCTGTGGTAAGCAAGTGTGTGGCCTTGTCTGAGGAGAAGCAAACACATTCAGGGCACTGGGTTGGCTTGGGTCAATGATGACACCCATAATGTCACGAAGAGAGGTGATGACATAAAAAATCATGCTCAATAGGATTATGCTGAGGCTCAGCCAAGGGGACCGTGGTGGAAGTTGACCTTGCTCTTGTGCGGCCTTCCTCCTCAGGGCAATGTCCTGAGCACTGGGAGATGCCTAGGCCATGCAGGGCAGCTGGGGAATATCCCAAGGTTGCCCAGCTCCTCCTAAGTGAGCAAGGCCCCTGAGCTGTTCCTGCACCAGGCAGGTCCTGAGGCTTGGAGGTCCTTGACTGCCCAGTTCCAGGTCCCTGCCTTGTGTAGGTCCTTGTCTCTTCCTTAGTGTTTCAGTGAGGAGTGTTGCCCTTTCCTACCCCAGGGAAAGTACCTTTCAAGTGAATATTACCCATTCCCTTGCAGAGCCTGGAGCAAAGCCTAGCCAGGTTGTATCTCAGGGGTTCTCAGGTGGGATCCTTGTAAAAGGTAGAGACCCACCATGGGGGATTCCCAGGGGACACCTAGGCATATTGCTGCCCTGGATTTGGACAACAGGCCTTCCATCTGCAGCTTCAAGGGTGAACCCCTTCACTCTGGGCCTAGCCTAGCAGGCTTGATTGAGAACCAGGGGACCCAGCAAGTCATAGGCAGGATAGCTGCCATCAGGACATTCCTGCCATTGGTGTGGAAGAAGGGACAGTGGCCTTTGGGGCCTGAACCTGGAGAGAGAGTGCTTGTGGCCTGTGGACCTTCTGTGTGATGGCTTCAGGGTAGTATTAGATATGGTTGTTACACCTGAGGCAGGCTTTCTGGCCCTAACATGACCAGGCTGTAGTAACCAAGGTTGCACCGCAGGACTCCACTGGGGCTCAGGAATCCCCACTGTGACTACTTTGCCAGGTGGCCAGCTTCTCACCCCAACCTGACATCCACCTCTGCAGTTTCACTGTCAATAGAGGGCATTGGACCAGATGATTCCCTCAGGGCTAGGCCTCCATAGTCTTCAGAGATTTCCCCCATGTTTCTGGATGGCCCAGAAGTACCCCAGGGGCAATGGCAGACAGGTGCTCTCTAGGTCAGTGAGGAAGGGCTTCACCTGTTCCCCCTTCAGTGAACATGCTCTGTCCTTTCTGTAGGGGCATTTTGAGAAGCGAGTACCCCAGATGCCTGCCATTAGGAGGGTGGTGCCTTGTGATCCCTGGCTGCGATTTGCATACCCTTGTCCAGACTGGGCGGGGGGAGGTGGCAGGGTGGACTTCTCAGAAAATGGTCTATCCTGGGCAGGCTGCCCTGTGGTCCAGCCTTGACAGCATTCGGCATCTCCTGCTGAGGAGGTCCATGGAGGTCCTCTGCTGGACCCACTGTTAGATTTTTGGAGAATCAAAGGAAAGATAGAAAAATATGAGACAAGAAAACAGAGCCAGACCCACAACAGGCAAGGAATATATCTCCCTTTATTCAAAAAAGATACGGTGAGAGGTAGAGGCCATCCATGGGAACCAAGTTTATACAACTAGACAAAGAAAATGGGGGATTATACCAAGATTGTGAGACACAGTGGCACTTTGTGGGGAGTTGAATTAGTGCCTAGGTTTGGTGTCCTTGAGGGTCTCTTTTCTCAGACAGGTGGGTGAGTTATCCATGACACTAAAAGAGACAGGTGGGCTCCATAAACAGTCTCTCTCAGTCCCGTGAGTGACCAGTTGATAAGTTTAAGCAAGGCCAGGTTTGAGCAAGGCCAAGCTGCCAGTTTAGGGCCACTTAGACATTTTAAGGAATTTATGTCTTTCCCTAATGAGGCTTGTGGCTCTTCTTCAGTTTGCACATTCTATCATTCCAGACCCTGGGGACATGTGATATATATATATGAATGAGAGGGTGAGGGGGATGAAAAGAGGGCCACATTACTTTGGGGGAAATAAGAAGATACAGATGCAATGAGGAAAAACTGGATCAAATCCTGGGCACGGGGCATAAAGTTTCCTTGAAGTCACAGTTTTTGTATCAATAAGGGAATCCCAATCAGTGACTGGTCCAGGAATCAATCAGAGGTTACTTTGAAGATCCCTCAGCAGACAGAGGAGAGGATTAGGTCAGTAAAGGTGACACAGCTTCTCTGTAGAGGGCCAGTAAGCTGTTTGTCTCAGAGAATTTTTGGTTTCTGAGAAGTTCTCAGGTGGCATAGAGCTGGAGCATAGTCTTAATTTAGTCTCAGGTAGAGGCTTGGGCAATCATACAGGCTGCTCAGTCAGGAGATTCTGTAAGAATTTTAGAGACAATAGTTAATTAAGCATAGTGTAGGGAAGGGATGGGAAGATGAGCTGGCCAGTCCAGTCCTCATCTGGGAATAAACTTGTCATTATTTTTTGGGGGTTCTCTACCCTAACTCCTTCTTCTGGAGAGGTAACCCTAGTTGCCAATAGGGAATTTGGACATTGAGTCATTCTGGCTTCTTCCATGCTGAACAGAGGCAAAGACTGTGGCAACAGGGATACTTCTTCAGTGGGTCTATCTAAAAAAAACCCCAAAGTATATAATTGTTATTCCTTGACTGGTGTCTGGGAGAAGATATGAAGGAGAAGTAAAACCAGAGTAGTTAGGCACATGTTTTAGGTAAGGAACCAGTAGAAATAAATGTCCACGTTTAAGTTCATTAGTTTCTTGATGGGGGTGGACAAGAGCATCCATTCACTGGGCCATTTTCTTTTTCTGAGTGTCACAGCTGGACTCAGGATTTGGTTTTTAGGCACTTTGATAGCTGTTGTAATGGCTGGAATCACATTGTGAGCTTCCTCCCAGATAGCTTCTATAGGCAGGGAAAGAGAAGAAATTTAGTTATTATTTAATTTTGATAATACCAATAGTAGATATGCCCCCTTTGCTGCAGGTGGCACAAAATTTTAGTGGGAATTTTTAAATAATATTTTAACCTCTACTTAGAGGCCTATACTAGGGGTTTAAGGGGTTTAAGGCACAGTTTTTTTCATTGCCTTCCAACATCAATTAAGTCCCATGGGAATATGGGGCATCTCTCAAAATGTCCTGTAACTGTGGTGAGTCACCTGCCCTCTTGTTCAGGAAGGTCATGGAGACCCCACTAGAGGGACTGAGGCCAGTGTCCAGTTTACAAGGAGGAGGGTCAGCACAGGAAAAATCTTCCATGCTTCCAAGCAAAGCCAGGGTCAAGCAGGACCTCCTGACTTATCCTCACATAGCTGTAACTGGTTAAAGGAAAACCAAAGGAACCAGGGCCTTCCCCCAAAGCCTGAGTGACTCATGAAGACCACAGCTTCAACTGACCTTCACAATAAAACAAAAACTTAATTTGGGCCCAAAGGTCTTAAACACCCAAAAGGAAAGTATAACCAAAAATTTACATAATCAGTATATTTCTTTTAAAGCCCATAAAATTGTGCTCCCCAGACATTAGACTTAAAAGTTCATATAAAATAGGTGCTGGAGAGATGGCTTAGCAGTTAAGAACACTGGTTGTTCTTGCAGAAGACCCGAGTTCTAATCTGAGCTTTAAACATCCAAGAAGGTTAGCTGCACTGGTCTGCTACCTTTGATTACTGTGTAATATGTAGATAAAACTTGAATAAAAAGTTAAACATTTTTAAACAAACAATGAGTGGAAAAGATTTAACATTATAGATCAAGTAGGCATAGTCCAGAAAAGGGATTTAAAATAATTCCCTCTAATAAAAATTCAGGTCTGTCTCCAGACCCTGAAGACATAAAAAAAAGAAAAGAAGAACAAGGGTGTAGTTATTATATGTCTATTTTTGTTTACTATGGCTGAAGTGAGGGGTGGGGTGGGGTGGGTCATATACCTATACACAGGAAATAAACTGATCTGGATATAGATCAAACTCACAGATCAAACTTGTTTTCTTTTGGAATTCCCATTTGGTTTTGGGAGGTTAAACTGAGTTTTATGAGCCAAATTATTTTGCTATGGGTGAAGGAAAACACCAAAAGTGATACTTGTATAATACAGAGATACATAAAAGGACATTTTTTAGTAATTACAGGTAACTCTAATACTTATTTGCATCCATTTAATTCCAGACTGTGACTAGGTGTGTAGCACAAGTCAGAGAAGTAGGCTGAAAAAAATTTTTGCTATAACAATAATTTTTATAACAACAACAACAACATTGTATTTCTGTAAATTTACTCAGACCTTTAACAAACTTGCTTAAATATTTTTATTACTTTTTTTTCATTCTGGAAATATCCAGCCATCTTAATCTTACTAATTTTGATCTTTCAATTTTTTATCTTTTCTTAAACATTTTTTGATACCCTGAGACATAACATTTATAAACAAACCCATTATTTGTTGTGAGAATCCATCAAATAACCAGTATTTACTCCCTCATACCTATAGATAGACGAACAACCATTTTAAACATATCAATACAATGTAAGCTTTGTAAAGGTATAGACCTTGATGTATCTGTTTATTGGCTATAAAGAGACAATAGTGGTAAAATGGTTAACATTTTCCTGTAACACAAGCACTTATTACTTAAAATTAGTATATTTTTAAGCAATAATAACCATAATACAGAAGAAGAATTAGGATAAGGATTAAAGAAAAAACATTTTGACCTGGAAAAAAATATTTTTACTTTAACAGTTTTAGTTTGTATGAGCTTTACTTGTAAGTTAATTTAACACCAAGTAAAAAATTTTTTTTGTCTTTTTGAAGCAGGGTCTCCCTGTAGCCCCAGTTGTCCTGGAACTCACTATGTAGACCAGGCTGGCCTTGAACTCATAGAGATCTGCCTGCCTCTGCCTCCCAAGTGCTGGGACTACAGGCGTGTGCTACCACGCCCAGCTAAGTAAATTATTTTTAGTAATATAAGTTTATGTATACCATGTATAAACAAAATAGACACCTTAAAATGTCCTGAGAGTCAACCAGAACCCAAAAGGTACTTAACAAATAGGATTTCTACATAACTAGAGACTTAGAACATTAATAGATTTAAAAATAATTAGGGTACCTGAGTTTAAAAGTCTTTTGAATGTAAATTTGTACCTGTGTATTTTAATTAGTCATGCCAAAAATAAAACCAATAATTTTGGT